GTGTTTTACATTGAACTCCAAATGCATTGTTTTTTTTTCAGGTCGGCTCGGCAATTCTACAACGAAATAGCCGCAGTCGACATTTCTATAAATAAAATGAATAATTATCGCAATTTCGATCTTTTTCTTCCCTGGTTGGCTTCTTAGGAGTTATACAAATCACTGAAAAAATTGACGAATTAAAAAAAAAAATTTTCGTACGTTTGCTAGCGGTTCAAAGTTTGCCGACTTTTACGGACCCTGAAAATCGGGGGGGTTTTCGGCTTCTCAGAGCGATTATAAATAAACCAATCAAATTAAAAACTTGAAACTCCGTATTGGGCAAGCGAAATACTTATATTACACAGTGTATTTGGTCTCATATTTTTACGATTTTTTTTCACTGAGTTATAGACGTTTATTTCGAGTGGTCTCTACTTTTGACACCGACAGTAGTTTCTTTTCCCGAAGGGATGTCATTGCATCCCTCTCTAGAAATCACTGAAATATGTTATATACTGGAAAGGGCACTGAGCCGACAGACAGGGTCGATTTTGGGGGCCACCTGTCTCTGCCGTACCGTTCGCTCCAAAAGTAATCTCTTACCTTGGATAACGTACAGAGATTGATATTGGCATTCAGCTCTTTTCGGTTGCATGTGTCATCTTTGTTAAAATTCAAAGTCATAGCATGTGACAGCTGAAAATTTTATTCTTTCCCAATGTATACTGATACATGAGGTATTTATGAATCCCGGAAAAAATAGCCGACGAAAAAAATAGACCAAGGGAAATTTTTAAGTCGGGTGGGTTTTAACACGTTTTGAGTGTATTTTTTCCTGGTCTATTTTTTCCGCCTACCCTCTTACAGTTCATAACTATAATGTATTGAGTATTTGGTGAAAAACAATGTAATTATAACATCACACAGTCGATTACTATTATGACAATTTTTAGTAATATTGCCGTAAGTATTCAAAACTTTAAGCACTTGCTTCTTATATACATTTTCAAATAATTAATAACCGGTGGCTCGGCACAGTGGGTAAGTTCGTTGCCTCACGTGCGAAAGGTTCCGAGTTCAAAACCCGGCCGGGTAGAATGGTAAGATCTAACCATTTTAAAGTCTTGATCATCATCGCAATATACCCTAACCCGGTCGAAGCGATGTAAAATGATAAAAAAAATTAATGGATAAACAACAAACAATGTTCAATACTCTTTACAGGTTGAGACTATGAATAATAGCCAATGAAATGCACTTCTCTTTCCATACATAAACTCCATAAATCTTTATCACGTCATTGGCTACTTTCAATTAGATAACAACAATTTTTAGAAATCTGAGTCTGAGTATGACAAGCCTACCCAATTTTAGGCGTATGGTTGTTTTGTCTTCTAATTGTTTAATAGTTTGAGTTTTAGCACGAGCGTGTAATCGAAGTTTTGTAAAAGCTGTTGTGAACAGTTTGATAATTTCCACTTAGTGTATTCCGGTCAAATCATGTAGAGTTTCCGTAATAGGATGAACAGGACTAAACGAAGTGGAAAGAGTGAAGCATGCATTCACTCCAGTTTTACTGGGTACAATTTGGTCTCATAGCTTTAAACGTTTTTTACCGAAACAGTGCAAAAAATGAAACATTGATTGTTTTCATATTGTTCGGATGTTACATGGCTCATCAAGCTAACTCATTCCGGTCAATTCTCTACTCTTTAGTGCTTTCAGAGAGTGAATAGCTGAAGCGAAGGATTTCCTGGCCGTTATAGTTGTTGGCCCTCAAAAATTTCAATCCTTTAATCTTCCTGACCATTATGTTGTCCGTCCCTTATAACTCCCGGACCTCAGATCTTTTGACCTTCGAATGTATTGGTCCACAAATCTTCTGAACCTTATATTTCCTGATTCATACATACTGATTCTTAAAATGTGGGCCCTTCATAGATCCTTCATGTTCTGACCCTTAAAATTGCGGAACCTAAGAAATGGTGAGACGTCGAACTTTTGCCCCTTATATTTTCTGACTCATAAAATGAACGCAACTTTTCACATTTTTTTAGAGAGTAGATAGCTCGGATAGGATGCTTGGTGGGGGCAATTTTCTACTCTCTGAAGTTTCTAGAGAGTAGATTGTTGAAAACTCTTTGACAGGGCAAAGTCAGGGAATTTTGTTGAAATTTCCAGGTAGATACCCTGATTGCGGAGAATATTTCTCCTTTCACCGTTTGCCCATTTTTACATTCCCATGTATGCATTTGAAAAGCGCCGCAGTGTTATTACTGAAACCATCAAGGCTGCATGTCATCAGCTTGAATATCTAGAGCTTTATGCAATGTAGCCACAATTTCTTCGAAATTTTTTATCCGCTCCCTATACCGGCTGCTCTTCTGGGAGAGTATTCTCTTGTCCCTCATCAGCTTATCTACTTTGACACGCATATATTCCAGCTTACGCTGGACAATATCTCCATACTCTGCATATGTATGGTCATGCAAGATGACATCCACAGATGTTCCTTGAGGTTGATCTGTGAACAAAAAATCAACAAAAAAATTATTAGCCCCAGTTTCGATTTCCTTCGAATTAATTCCCGATAATTAAAATATCACCGTTGATTTGCATTGCCGATGTAGAATGTGAATCAGTCTTCGTTTCTAGCGTTGATGTCATTTGCACATCGAGAGGAGTATGATGCACTGACAGAGAACTCATCTTTGATCCTGGTTCTGTCGGATTGTCATCAAGTTCTATATCTGAAATTACGGAATTCATTATTATAAATTCGGGAAGATTCAGCAGACTCATTTGCCATTCAACTAAAAAAACTCTTGGTGAACATAAATGCGGAAGATTACAGATAAACTTACGTTTATTTACGTGAACCATAAGTGCCACATCGGACGATAATGATGAGTCCTCTTTATCGGGGTGGAAAATCGTTGGAATAGAACCCTTTCGCAATCTCGCTCTGTAGTCTCGAAAATCAATTAACTCTTTGGAAAAGTGTTGTGCACAGAGCATATGCCACTCCTTAGGCATCCAATTGTTTTTTCCCATATTTTTCACCCATAACTTTACCAACTTTTCATCCTTAGGGAATCTATGGAGCGAAAGTAAACAATTACAACATCATATCTTACGTTTTTAAATGCTTCATGTGTGAACATATATATATCACGACAAATTATTGCCAACAGAGAAAATATTCTTACCGATGAAAAGATACATCCTCATTTTTCGCCTTTGTCTTTCCACAATAAATACACCGCCCCATTTTTGCAATCAAATAAAATATTTGGTTAGGCAAGAATCTATCGAACAACTGACGCGTCACATAGACTGAAAGGTTATGACTTGAGAAAATTTCCCCAATAAGTTCCCGAACACGCCCCCCTCTGACTACGAGCATGCACAGTGCCGCCGGTGGTGCTGGCTGACCATAGAGGTATAATACCTAGAGCGCTCGTTCGACTCCCGAGCTTACGGAAATTCGGAGAGAGATAGCCTGCGTAGCGGTCCACTTTCTCTCTCTCACTCTCTGTCTGTAGAAAGCAGAGTGGGAGAGCAGAAGGCAATGTAGAGAGGGAAATATTGAACATGGCCGTATGCAAAGAGGATAGACCTGAGCAAAGAGGATAGACCTGGGGGGCTATTCTCAACAAAAAGCCGCTTTTTCCGCAGCTTTTTCGAAGCTGCGACTTTCTGCCGCGAGGAGCCGACACGATACTAAATGACACGAATTGATGACTTTGTGAACGCATTTTAAACCTCAAATCTGGCAGATTTTTTTGACATTTGGGAGAGCTATGATAAGTCAACTTTAGGGAAATTTAAACCAAAACAACCGTGATGATGGCGGATAATATAACAGGTGCAGTGTTAGTTGATGAAGAAGCCGAAGACCATCAACGGGGCTTACCTCAAATCCACTGGAGGATTTGCCCGACTCGGTGTTCAGTAAATAGTACAGGTTCAAGTGGTTCATAGGATTTATTTGTTGGCTTTTATTAATGAAAATAATAACAGAGTTAGCAAGGATTTTATACAATGGCTGTGTGAAATTCCACTTTCGCTCCGACATCAAAAATCGGAGCTGAGATATTTACCAGCATCAATATCTACTCAGTGGTCGATAGGTAGTCAGTTCTATTCACTAATTGATCGGTCAAGTATTTATCTCATTTGTAACACGTATTGAAGTGAATTATTAACACTTTACTCCAATAAAAATTATAGCTGCTCCAAAATGAAAAATTGCAGATGAAGGGGCATTTAGGCGCAAATGCGCATAATGCGTTCGCAAAGTCATTACTTTGCGTCATTTACTATCGTGTCGCCCCCTCGCTGCAGAAAATCGCAGCTTCGAAAAAGCGGTGGAAAAAGCGACTTTTTCTTGAGAATAGCCTCCCTGAGTAGAGGCCCGGATCGGGGGGTTTGACTGACTCCAAAAATGTTAGTTGGTACCCCACGGGAAAGGCGGCGTCCCGGTCTAATTGTCGGTAAATGTGAGTCGGGTGCGTAACTCGGCAGTAGCAGTCCCGCTGTCACAGGGATAGGTTTGGAGGGCCACTTTTGTCCTCCTTGTACTCAATGTTTTTCTTTATGTTTTTCAGTTGATTTATTCGCCGACTAATTAATATTAAGGGATGAAACAAAAACTGTTCAATGGAGAATTAAATTCCCCATCCATCAACCCCCGTTTCATCCCTTAATCTCGGCAATAAAAAAATTAATATTACGACGAAAGTCACGGCGCTATAAGAAACTCAATGTTTTCTCGGCGCACAGTGACTCCCCAATAATTCGCCCGCTAATTAAAAAATCGTCTCTCCCCTCCTAATTAACATTAAGGAATGAAACCAATACTGTTCGATGGAGAATAAAATTCCCCATCCTTCAACCCCCGTTTCATTCCTTAATCTCTGTAATAA